ACCCCACCCCCCCAAACCACACCACACCTCTGGCACAGCAGGAGGAAAAGCCTCCATTCACTGTATGGGATCTTCCAGGGGCTGTGGCACAAGCATTGTAGACACTACTCTTTGATATAATTCCCAAACTCTTCCTCAGTTTTCTCCTAGAAGAGAACTGAAACAGCAGCATGTCCAGAGAACGGCAGTGGAGCTGGGGAAGGGTCCACAGGAGCACAAGGAGGAGCACCTGATGAGGAGCAGGTGCAGGAGCTGGGAATGTTGAGCCGGGAGAAAAGGAGGCTCAGGGAGGACCTGGTCACTCTCTCCAGCTCCCTGATGGGAGGGTGTAGCCGGGGGGCGCTGCTCTCTTCTCCCGTGTAACAAGTGACAGGGCAAAAGGAAATTACCTCAAATTATGCCAGGGGAGGATTAGATTAGGAGGATATGAGGAAAATTCTGTTCACCGGTGGGGTTTCAAGCCCCACTGAAATAGGCTGGCCAGGGAAATGGTAGGTTTACAGATATTAAATATAATATAATACCTTGGAGGTATTTAAAAGGCACACAGATGTGGCACTTAGGGACATGGGTTACTGGTGCCTCCAAAGTGCTGGGTTAATGCTTGAACTCTGAAAGGTCTTTCCCAACCTAAATGATTCTGTGATGTTTTAATTCTATCCCAACCGACTTCATTTTCTCCCAGCATCCATCACCCTTTCCCCGCGTTACTTTTTTGCTCCAGAAGGTTTTTGGCAGATGGTCTGCCTGCGGGGAAACTGCCACCCGACTAAAGCAGAGGGGTGAGCAGTAGCAGTCAACCACTGGGCAACCCTGAGGATGTGGCAGGAAACCACCGACCTTACAAATCTCTGCCTTAAATAGCTGAACATGCACACAAACACGCACACACATGCACAGACTCCTCCTTACCATGAGGATGAATGTTCCCAGTGCTTCTGCCAGCATCTCTCTTATGGTACTGTTACGAATCCTGAACACCTTCCTAGTCTTCTCCAATATTGTCATCCTCGCCTTCTCAAGTCTGCTTTTGTGCTCCTGTTGTGACGGCACACTTCATTGCACTGAGCCAGGTTACCCTTTGAAACTTGGCACCCTTTCCTCACCCCCAGACACCTTCCCTCCCTTGGTTAACAATGAACAAGCCAATAAAGCAGCACCTAGCTTCAAAGTCTTCCCCCCTTCCCCCCCTCTCCCAAATGCCATCCTATAAAAGCTGTATGGTAGGGATGCAATATTTCTGTTAGGAGGGCATTGGTGACACTGTGCCTCTGCCCAGGAGAGCCTAACCCCAGAACAGTGGAGCTGTCAACAGCCTTGATGTGCTCCTGAAGCCTATCTTTCTCCTTAACCTTTTCTACAAGAACTGAAGAGGAATTTTGGCTCTGCTCTGCATTGTAACCCATTGACTGGTGGTTTGGTTCTGGTTTTTTAAACAGATTGAATTGGGATCGTTTGCCTGTGCAGGATTATTTGGATGCTTCTTCTGCAGCAAGGATGGTCTGCCTGGAGCTGGTGTGCTCTGCTGTGTGCAGCTGGGAAGAGCACAATGCTTCAGGTGGAATATTTGTTCTTGTTGAATGCACCTGTGTCTGCAGGTGCCATCACAGTCATGGAGAGCCTTGCACCAGCCATCCTGTCTGTCCTCTCATATAGGGCAAGGAGAAACCAATCTCAGCAACGGTCTCAAGAGATCTTCCTGGCTTCTTACCCGGCTGCCAGACCAGCACCATTACTGCCCTCATTCCCTCTGCCTATCTCCCTGCTCACCAGGCTCTCTTACCTTTCCACGGTGAAAAGGTTTTAATACCTTTGATTAATCATGAAAAAACTTATATCCACTGAACACTCAAGACCTTTTTCCTTGAGCCTTTTTTTCTTTTCTTTTCTGGTTCTTTGCTGCTTTTCTTCGTCTCCCTCTCAACCTGATGCAGCTTCTCAGTGTGGCTCTGGAGGGAACAGCCCTGAAGAGGTGTCAGCAGCTGCCCTGATGGGGACATGGTGCTCTGCTCATACTGCCCCTGGCCTTGCCTCACTCTCCTCTACTGCATGGCAAAATTTCATGAGCTTTTCTTTCACCCACAGGGTGAAAGCAGGAACTTTCATGGACTCAGCAGCTGTATTGGAAGTATCTGGGAAGCTGATTCTCCTCTTCGCTCCATAGATGATTGTATGTCTTGTGGCAGGGAGAGTTTTATGGACTGGGGTAATCCCTCCTCCAGTGACAGATTAGCTATTGACCTCAGTGCACGCCTGGCTAAATATGCAGTAAATTACTAGTCTGTCTCTGATACTGAGGATCATTTAACTATGATGGATGATAATAATATTGATTACAAGGGTGTTTCTACATAATTTTTCTAGGTGGGAAGGTTTTTGTCCTGTCGGTCTGTGACCTATGCTATAGCACAGAATAAATCTTTCTAGGTCACTGCATTCTCTGCCTTGCAAATGTTTATTGGTGGAGCACGAGCCATGGGTCCTGGAGCACCAGGTTGGGGTGGTAACAAGACCCTCAGGTTTCTTCTGCACATAGTGATTTCCAGCTGACATTACATGTCACCTGAGATGCTTGTGTCCTTGTGCTGGAGATCTCACATCTGAGCCTTTCTCAGATGGGTAAGGTATGAGTGGATCGGTAACATCCACAACTGGACCTACAACTTTTATTTTCCCCTTAATCTCAGGGAGCCTTCCAGGTGGATTCCTTCCTTCTGGGCAAACAGTGAAGCTGCTGTGTATTTGATAGGCTTTGTCTCCTGCATTCAGGCTTCTATAGATTCTGACTTGGGCTGAAAAATGGACAGATACTTTCTGGGAACACTGGGTTCCCATAGACTTGCAGTCTTCTCAGGGAAAAACACAATCCCAGTTTGCAGTAGAAATCTTTGGATTGGTGATTATATTTGCAACACAATTCCCAATATTAACACCAAACCATGTAAAATTCCAGCAGGCTTCTAGGAGATTGTCTTTTTGTACAGATCATTCCACAAGATGGCACTGAGACATTAATTTCTCCCTCTAAGATATTCAGAAGGGCTCCTCTGTTGGCTGCTGAAAATGTAAGGATCCTTTAATTTTGGGGTTCTGCTGACCATTTTTAGATATTAAAGTGACTTGCTACTGTTCAAGGACTGTAAAAATAACAAAACTATCACCTTTCCAAAGATCATGTAGGTCAGCACACCTCTGCTCTGCAAGTACACAAACCCAAAGTGTGTGAACCTGTGCCTGAGTTTATTACAAGCAGAGAAAAACAGGCATCTCCAAAGGGCAATTCTTCCTCACATAAAATAAGCACCTGAGACCTAACATATGAATCATGCTAGATACTGGCACTTTCCCTCCAGTGTCTGCACAGACATGGAGTCATGGGCTCCAATGTGCACCCCTACGAGTGCTAGGTGGGCTGGACTGCTCCTTCTCCCTGCATCCAGACATGGTGATCTTGAGCAAGTGAAAGCCAAGTGAGTCAGCCAAGGGCTGGATTGCAAATATCTTCTGGTTTCTCAACAGCAACCTGTTTGTACTTGCTTGGTTTCACTTACCCTCAGGGCTGACGAGGATCTCTGGGGTCACTAAATACAGTCCCCTCCACTCTGCATTTTCATGGTAGATGATTGTTGCCCAACTCCTTCTGTTGTACTCTTACCAGAATTTGCTGCTCTGAAGATTAGACACTTTCCTGTAATTTTCAGCCAAATTCTCAAAGCCATTTGTCCATGTGCAATGTTAGCCCATCACAGACATGAGCTAACTTACTTCTTGTGGGTGTTATCACTTTAAGTGTTCCTATAAGGTTTGTTAAAAGAGCATTGGCTGCTCATGCTCAGCTCCATACAGCTTTCTGATATCCTCACAGGTTGAAACTTCACTCAACATTGGCCCTACAATGATTTTGCCATGTTTTCCACAGCACATTAAGCAGCCACCTGCTAAACCAAACCCATTTTCCTCCTCAACACAGGTGTGCTTTCTGCACTACTGATAAAAGTCTCCATTTGGAAAGGAAAGTTTTGGCGAGATCCACTAACAGTTCTGGTGTTGATACCCATGGCAATGAAGAAACAGGAGAACAATGCCCCTGGGTACTGCAAGAAGAGCCCTGGGAAGAATGACTCCCCAAGCACTCCAGGGCATTCTACAAGGAATAACTTCTCTGACTCAATTTGACACTGCACATGCTTCCTATGCACCCAGGAGCTCATTTATCTCTTAATTGGGCTAATCAGCAGGTGGAACACTGCTGCTCCATTCACTTCAGCCCTGCTGGTGAAGCATTTTCTCCCCAGAGGCCGAAGACAAGCATAAGCAGACAGCTGAGCAGAGGAGCTGCTCACTGCAGGCAAGAACAGTTTGTTCCTCAATCAGACCAAATGAAGAGGGCACCAAAATATCTCCAGTGCCCTTCAGAAAGCAAGACCCAATCAGAGAGATCATAACAACACTGGTATGACCCTCACTGTCTGGATAGTCCCTGTTTGACATAACCTAGAGCGCCTGCTCCCTATGGTTTCATGTTCAACACTCATGGTCTGTCTCCTTTTTTATGTGTGGCAGGCACCAAGAGAGTCTCACACACCCCACGTGTCTCTCAGCAGATGTCTTTGCTGTCTGTACTGCCATCCCCCTCTCCATTCCCGGGATACTGGACTCCACAGCCTTTCAGCTCACCCGTTGTCCCTTGCCCTGAAGCCAGCCAAAAGGTCATCACCTGCACATACGGCTCTTCCATGAAACCACACCTGCTACTGTCATGATGGACAGAAGTGGGAGGGTCAGATGGAGAGATGTGGTGGTTCATGGGTGGCGTCTTCTCCTGGGCAAGATGCTGCCTCAGGCTGCTACAGCTACTAGGCTGCTACAGCTACAGAGCTGCTACAGCTACAGGGCTGCTCAGACAGAGGTAATCAATGAGGCGATACTGCCAGCAGGAGCAGAATTAATAGGCTTTGTTTGTCTTTAGGGGCAGAGCAGGGCTCTCTGTGACAGGATTGCCAGGGGTGGCCCTGACCTCATTGTTGAGCAACAGCGTGGAACCCTCCTGGTCACCAGGAACCCGTCCACCCCATGCTGGGCCACATTCCTCCTGCCCTTGTCAGACTTATGAGATAGGATGAAGTGATTCTTACATGGAGCAAAGCATGATGGTTTTTGAGGCACCCACCAGCTTGGATCTGTGAAAAGACCTGGAAAGTCTCCCCTACTCACAAATATTTAACAGAGAGTGAAATGGAGGCACAGATCAGCTCATAGAATCATAGAATGTCAAGGATTAGAAGGGTCCTTAAAGAATATCTAGTCCAAATCCACCCTTGCCATGGGCAGGGACCTCTGCCACTAGACCAGATTGCTCAAGGCTCTATCCAACCTGGCCTTGGATGCTGATGGGGATGGGGTATCCACAGCTTCCCTGGGAAACTTCTTCCAGTATCTCACCAGCTTCAAAGTATTTTTCCTAATATATAGCTTACATTTTCCCTCTTTCAATTTGTACCTATTATTCCCTGTCCTATCACTAGAGCTCCTCACAAAAGGTCCCTCTCTGGCTTCCCTGTGGCCCCTTCAGGTACTGGAAGTTTCCTATGAGGTCTTCACACAACCTTCTCTTCTCCAGGATGAACAGCCACAACCTTCTCAGCCTGTCTTTGTAGGAAAAGTGCTCCAGTCTTCTCATCAATGTAGTGGTCTCCTCTGGACTTTCTCTAGAAGTTCCATGTCCTTCTTATGTTTGGGGCACCAGAACTGGTCCCACAGGGTACCATGGGATTTCCAACAAGGTCATGTTGGCTCCTCACCTGCCATCATCCCTCATTTCCATGACCATCTTGTTCTCCTGACCTGCTCAGGGCCATGCTCTCAGCATACCTGTCTGTGTGAGAGCATCTGCCTGCCTGTGCTGGGACCGTGCTGTGGGGCTGCCCAGACCCAGGCAGAGAGCAGCAGACTCTGGGTTCTGAGCCTTGAGCTGACTGCTCTGGTCTGCTTTCAATCCACAGATAAAGTGGAAACTAGGGAAACTACAGAGCTCACAGGACATCATCACCCTGGAGATAAGAGCAGACAGTCTTTCTTCCAGAGGAGCACAAACATTCACGTTCTGAAAGGAGAGATTAAAGGGGAAAGGCTGTAGGCTGGGAGACACAGGGTCAGGTAAAAGAGGTTTTGAAATTGCAGAGTGTGGTGAAGCCAGCACACTGCTCTGAACATTTCCCTGCCTCTGTTTGTACCCAGAGAAAGCACAGCATGTCTGTGTCCCCCCAGCCAGTTTGCAATGAGTTTGCTCTTACAAACAATGCCACTGTTGAAACCCCTGGTACTTCATCCCATACTGTCTCTTCTGCCTCATCCTTTCCCCAGGCAGTCCAGTCTGGAGTGCAGGATGCTCTACAAAACACACCAGCCCAGCATCTGCCTGAGCAGCACCAAGAAGTTCAAGCTTGTGTTGACATTCACAGAGAGCAAAACCAGAGCAGGGCCTGCTGACAGTCACACAGGCATGCCTGCTCCCTCTGCTGCTGAGCAAGCAGAGCAAGGCTGAGCCAGTAGTACTTCACACAGTTCTTCACAGCCAACAGGTCCTTAAGGGTGTACTGCATCCATGCATTTCACTCATAGAAGTTATGCCCGTAAGCCTTCCAAAAGATGATGCTAAACCCACAGGCAGACCATAGAATCACAGAATCATGGAACATTTTAGCTTGAAGGGGCCTTAAATACCACCTCGTTCCAACCCCCTGCCATAGGCAGGGACACCTTCCACTAGACCAAGCTGCTCAGATCCCCATCCAATCTAGCCTTGAACAACTCCAGGGATGGGGCAGCCACAGCTTCCCTGGGCAACCTGTGCCAGGGCCTCATGATCCTCACAGAATTTATTCTTAATATATAATCTAAACCTGCCCTCCTCCAGTTTAAGGCCATTCCCCCTTGTCATATCCCTTCAGGCCCTTGTAAAAAGTCCATTTTTTCTGCTTTCTGTTCTCCAGATGTTTTGTGGGATGAGGAACCGACTGGTGACACTAATCATTGCCCATATGTGTAATCAGTGAATTACCCAGCTATCTCCCCCAGAACATGACTGTGCTCTCCCATATCACACCTGCCAGGGGGTGTCTGAAGACCATACAGCATCTGGCATGACTCACACCAGTGTTGAGCAATGCCTGCCCATGGGATTTGTCTCTCCACAGGGAGGGAAAGGCCAGGATGCAGACGGCTGGGTCAGCTTTCCCAGCGCCAGCCCACCCCAGCCCAGAGGGCTGCTGCTGGGGCGGACGTGAAGGCATCCAAAAGAAACCCCGATAAGCTCCCAGTATCTCAGCTGTGGGAAGATGCCACAGATTCCTTGCAGGCATGCACACAAATCCCCTCAGACACTGCCCAGCCTCCTCTGGAACTCCAAGGATGCCCACAGGCATTTCAGTGTGAGTAGAAGTTTCCTCCAGCAACACCTAGGCCCCACCACTCTCATAATCCCTCAGCCCCTTTTGACTCTTGTGCTGTTTTGAGACACAGGAAGGAGGGGCCAGGTGTGGATCTGGATGGGCTCCTGGCCATTCCAATTCTTTTAGTTCCTGCATGTAAAGACATTGACCTGGAGGAACTCAGAGAAGCTGAAAATCTACCTGTTGATGGGCCCTGAAAACGAGACAGTTTTCCTAGCTCCTGTCGTGTCCCGGCACAACTCCTGGATGACACAAGTGGCAGCTTCATGAATTGTCCCATAATAAGCATAGCACTGACATGCAGGTTTTTTCCCTAAGCACAGGACACCACATGTAAGTCACCATTGACAGTGCCGATATCCCTAACTCATGGCAATTTCTAAATTTTGTCACTGTCTTTATTGTCCTTATGTTTGTTTTTACACAGACACTGAAATGTACAGATTCCTATCAGCCATTTCCTAGTGAAGAAGTAATTGTTACACACTACCTTCTGTATCTTGACTTCATTGGAACCTCATTATCGAATCAAATGAAATGATCAATATATAATCTTATGAGAATGGCAGAGGATCTGTCCCTCACTCCTGACATGAACCAGGAGTTCTCAGGAACTACCTTGAGCAGGACCTGATGTGATGGGCCTCTGACCACAACACAGCCCCCAGGCTCTGCCACAAGATACAAACTCTAACAGGTCTGTGAAGATATGGGTAGTGATTTGGCACCTCAATTGCTGGTGCATGTTCCAAACTGTGGCATTAGGCACAGCAGGTGCCTGTCTGGACCTCACACCTACAGGAGCACCCAGTGAAGAGTCTGCTGGGAAATGTGTGGCTGCTGGAATGACTTTTCTCAGAATGAACTCAAACTGCTGTTCATGCACTAGGCTATGTTAATGAGTGTTTAAAAGCCCTTGACACAGGATGTTGAAGGTCCCAAAAAGACATCTAAAGATAGACAAATTCATGAAGGTTAAAATCCACCCATGGCTATGGAACATGGACACCCTGTATCACAAGTAGTCCCTGAACCGTGAGTCACTGAAGATTGTAAAACAGTTCTGCAGAAGTACATTTGTTCTGTTCACACACTCTTCTCCTGTCGCACTTTCATGGATGTTTTTCACAAGTCCAACCCATCTCAGTGACCTCTGCCTGGCTACCTGTGCCAGTGGAATGGCATGTCCACCAATTCAGTACTTAGTCAGAGGAACAGAAGGGTAGCAGAATTTACTAGCTGCTCTTCTTGAATTCCTCAGATCTGAGATGACGTGAAAATGAAAATGGTAAAAATTCCTGGCTCTATTGTTCACCAGTGTGAGACCTGAGCATCCACTCTCCTGCCTGCCCATTTCCCCATCTCCAGGATGTGGCCAAAACACCTTGTTCAGATGCAGGCTGTGATGGGCAGAGGAGACATTTGCACCTACACACAGCCTGTTGTGTGACCTTTGCTAAAACACTTGCTCCAGCTGAGTGCTGGAAGTGCCACCAGCTGCTGGGTCATCCTTCTCATTACTCTTTTCTCCACTGTGCAGTGCAGATAGTGACCTCTTCCAGTCCCAGGACAGCCAAGGACATCCACTTAACCACTGGTGAGGTCAGTGGTCAGAGGGGCAAGTGGGACCAACCTTCATACCCTTAACAGGTCAAGCCTGCAGAGCAAGTCCTGAGCTCACCAGAGAACTTGCTATAATGCCTACAGCAATGCAGCAATTAAATGGCATCTTAGATACAGTAAAAGCTTTTGGTGAGGGATATCTATTGCACTGTGGTAGAGCCTCCTTTCTCTTTCCCTTCAGGAGCTGGATGAGGCCACATCACGTGCGTCATTTAAAAGCAGACTTGAAGCAAAAGGCACTTGAAAACTTACCATGGGGAACAATCATGCTCAGGGCAGTAAATAACTGACTTTGTCTTGTTCATCTCATATTTTATGGCCTTTGCTGTTTGTACAGTGCTTCTCAGGAGAAGGCAAGCTAGCAGAGCAGAGCCTGCTCACCACTCACCTGCCTCCTGCCCTGTGCAGGAACATCTTCCCTCCTGTGCTTTCTCTTCTGCTCAGCTCCATGGGATGGTAGCTTTGGATGGCACACCACCACACTGCATTCACACAATACTGTCAGCAAGGGCCTGGGGATAAAAAGCCAGAGCCCTGGGAGCATTGCAGGAGCCCTGGCCACAGTTCCTCCTCTGTGCCTGGGGTGAGAGCTTGCAGCCTCCTCCTTCCTGGTCAGTCCAGTCCCTGATCCACATGGGAGCTGTAGTGTAGCAGGGACAAGTACTGTCAGACCAGGGTCTCAGTCCCTTGCAAGTGCCATGGGGTTTGCCATGGCCTGTCCTGGAAATTTAGGACATGAACAAGATCCTCTGGACTCACAGGACCTCTTTTAAAGCCCACATTGTCAATCACCTTAGAAGCAACAAAGGGGAAATTTTCCAACCAGCAATTATGTGGGACAGAGTATGTTTGTTGATAACATGGGGTGGTATGGGGGAACAGAGATGTCTGGCTTCACCATGGCCTCATTGGGCTGCA